TTAAATGACATCTGTCCTAAATGTAAGTAATTAATTTCTCCATATTACATATCACAAAACTATAGTCCAGGTTAAAATAATGCAGTAACGAGTTTTTTACAAATTCACTTTATCATAGGTTTCACACCGTTCTTGACAATTTAAGGTGTGATTTTTCTATATAATTGCTCATTTATTTATTTATTTATTTATTTATTTATTTATTTAAAATACACATCCAACAGGCGATGCCCAATAACAGGATATGTTAAGTCTAGTCATAAAATATAAAAAAGTTAAAAGAGAGAAAAATTAACTATGAAAAAATAGAGAAAAAAAATAGTACAAACTTTCAAATGACACAGATATAAAGAACAAAATAAAAAGGTAACAAACTATAAAAGACAGATATGACTACATAAGTAAAGCATTTTTTATATCATTAGGCAAACAACAAAATTATTTTTATTATTTATTTTCTATCTTACTGTACTTGGAAACAATTTGATACAATGGTGATGCTACTACTCGTACGATGTTACTACTTGCTGCGGGTAAACTAAAAACATTATTACTTCTAGCTGATAGTCGCGGTACTTTGATATCAATATTAATTAAAACACCTGGACAGTCCAAAATGTTATGTAGAACTTTATACAAAAACATTACTTGAAAAACAGATCTTCTTTTCGCAGGGACATGAATATTGAATATTTACTGTCGATCGGTGCAAAATAAAGACTCGTATTCCCATTGAAACCGACAAATGATTCTTTTTATGAAATCCATCGCATTTCATCCCCCCACCCCATATGGGCTAACAAATAAATGTGAGACTGTTTATTGAAGTAATTACTTATTTTATGTCGGTCAATGGAAAAATAAAATCTCGAAGGCACGTTACAACGAAGCAATTGATCCTTTTTTATGAAATTCATCCCATTTCATCCCCCCGCATGGGCTGACAAATTAATGTGACACTGTTAATTAGTGTAATTTTTTATTTCCTGTCGATCTATGGTGAAATGAAATCTCGAAGACACGTTATAACGAAGCAATTAATTTTTTTAATGAAAGTCACCCCATTTCATCCCCCCGTAGGGGCTGACAAATGAATGTGAGACTGTTAGTGTAATTTTTTATTTCCTGTCGATCTATGGTGAAATGAACACTCGAAGACACGTTATAACGAAGTAATTAATTTGTTTTATGAAATTCACCCCATTTCATCCCCCCGCACGGGCTGACAAATGAATGTGACACTGTTAATTAGTGTAATTTTTTATTTCCTGTCGATCTATGGTGAAATGAAAACTCGAAGACACGTTATAACGAAGAAATTAATTTTTTTTATGAAATTCACCCCATTTCATCCCCCCGCACGGGCTGACAAATGAATGTGACACTGTTAATTAGTGTAATTTTTTATTTCCTGTCGATCTATGGTGAAATGAAAACTCGAAGACACGTTATAACGAAGAAATTAATTTTTTTTATGAAATTCACCCCATTTCATCCCCCCGCACGGGCTGACAAATGAATGTGACACTGTTAATTAGTGTAATTTTTTATTTCCTGTCGATCTATGGTGAAATGAAAACTCGAAGACACGTTATAACGAAGAAATTAATTTTTTTTATGAAATTCACCCCATTTCATCCCCCCGCACGGGCTGACAAATGAATGTGACACTGTTAATTAGTGTAATTTTTTATTTCCTGTCGATCTATGGTGAAATGAAAACTCGAAGACACGTTATAACGAAGAAATTAATTTTTTTTATGAAATTCACCCCATTTCATCCCCCCGCACGGGCTGACAAATGAATGTGACACTGTTAATTAGTGTAATTTTTTATTTCCTGTCGATCTATGGTGAAATGAAAACTCGAAGACACGTTATAACGAAGAAATTAATTTTTTTTATGAAATTCACCCCATTTCATCCCCCCGCACGGGCTGACAAATGAATGTGACACTGTTAATTAGTGTAATTTTTTATTTCCTGTCGATCTATGGTGAAATGAAAACTCGAAGACACGTTATAACGAAGAAATTAATTTTTTTTATGAAATTCACCCCATTTCATCCCCCCGCACGGGCTGACAAATGAATGTGACACTGTTAATTAGTGTAATTTTTTATTTCCTGTCGATCTATGGTGAAATGAAAACTCGAAGACACGTTATAACGAAGAAATTAATTTTTTTTATGAAATTCACCCCATTTCATCCCCCCGCACGGGCTGACAAATGAATGTGACACTGTTAATTAGTGTAATTTTTTATTTCCTGTCGATCTATGGTGAAATGAAAACTCGAAGACACGTTATAACGAAGAAATTAATTTTTTTTATGAAATTCACCCCATTTCATCCCCCCGCACGGGCTGACAAATGAATGTGACACTGTTAATTAGTGTAATTTTTTATTTCCTGTCGATCTATGGTGAAATGAAAACTCGAAGACACGTTATAACGAAGAAATTAATTTTTTTTATGAAATTCACCCCATTTCATCCCCCCGCACGGGCTGACAAATGAATGTGACACTGTTAATTAGTGTAATTTTTTATTTCCTGTCGATCTATGGTGAAATGAAAACTCGAAGACACGTTATAACGAAGAAATTAATTTTTTTTATGAAATTCACCCCATTTCATCCCCCCGCACGGGCTGACAAATGAATGTGACACTGTTAATTAGTGTAATTTTTTATTTCCTGTCGATCTATGGTGAAATGAAAACTCGAAGACACGTTATAACGAAGAAATTAATTTTTTTTATGAAATTCACCCCATTTCATCCCCCCGCACGGGCTGACAAATGAATGTGACACTGTTAATTAGTGTAATTTTTTATTTCCTGTCGATCTATGGTGAAATGAAAACTCGAAGACACGTTATAAAGAAGCAATGAATTTTTTTATGAAATTCGCCCCATTTCATCCCCCCGTACGGGCTAACAAATGAATGTGAGACTGTTAGATAGTGTAATTTTTTATTTCCTGTCGATCTGTGGTGAAATGAAAACTCGAAGACACGTTATAACAAAGCAATTAATTTGTTTTATGAAATTCACCCCATTTCATCCCCCCGCACGGGCTGACAAATGAATGTGATACTGTTAATTAGTGTAATATTTTATTTCCTGTCGATCTATGGTGAAATGAAAACTCGAAGACACGTTATAACGAAACAATTAATTTTTTTTATGAAATTCACCCCATTTCATCCCCCTGTATGGGCTGACAAATCAATGTGACACTGTTAATTAATGTAATTTATAATTTCCTGTCGATCTATGGTGAATTGAAAACTCGAAGGCACGTAATAACAAAACAAAAAAGTTTTTTATGAAATTCTTATTTCATCCCCCGTACGGGATGACGAATGAATCTGTAATCGTTACTCTTTATAATTACTCATTTGCTATCGATCTATGCTAAAATAAAAACATTCGAAGACACATTATAAAGAAGCAATGATTTTTTTTACAAAATTTTTGGGGCGACGACTTTATCGATTCTAGTCCTACTAGAAAATGTGGATGTGGATAACTTCACACCCGTTAATTTTTCCAAAAAAAAAAATGGTCAATAGGTACATATTTTTTTTTTGGAAATATTACATGACACCGGATATATGCTCCTTAAAACAATCATAGAACAATCACAAATTCCTTAGATAAAAACAGTTAAATTTAACTTTGTCCAAAAATATTTAACTTAAAAGTTACAGTCTTATGGTTTGTCATTAATGTCTGAGAACCGATTTGATATCTGAATGAAATTTCATACACATATGTATCAAAATCATTTTCAATCATTTCATTCCCTGTATCAGTGGCATACAAGGGAATGTCTGACTTTCTTTATGAAAATATCATCGCATTTCTTAGTTATTTGTTGAAATAATCCCAAGTAATAGTCCAAATAATGCCTGCTGTAAATTTATGTTAAAATTGCTAGATTTTTAGTTAAAACAGAAGATTCAATTTGTTGATCTGAAAAAATAAAAGTTTGAGATACCAAATCGATCGCATATCTGATACCGCTTGTGCTAGTTTCAAAAGATGTTACAAAATATATTTTGGGATCCGCAAATATATTATATCAGTGGATGCATCTCTTTAAAGGAACAAAGAAGTTTATATATTGTTGCTAAAATCTAGTTTACTTAAATTTCTAAATTTAGTGTCTCAGATATATTCCATCATAATCGTAACTATAGATTTCATTTTCCATTAACAAGAATAGTTGAGCTGTTCAATTCTTTCATATATTTTATAATAATACACATGGTATACTGATTGTACTTAAAATTGCATACAGTAGGCGCTCGCTAATCAGACATGTTTTAGACCATTAAGTTGTCTGATTACTGGAAGTGTCCGACTATTGGAAGTAATCCAAAATATCAGTCTGGCATTTAAAAACACACAATTTGATTACGCTATAAAGTTTAATATAAAGTAGGGTACATTTATTGAAAAACTATACTTTTAAAATTAAGTAAAATAATATGTATTATGTTAAGACTGACTGACACTGCCTAATAATAACCTATCTGTAGTGGCGTCAAGTAACAGGAGTAGTAGGGGTGGAGTGCAATGAACTTGCTTTTGTCCGATTACCGAGCGGTTACCCATCAAAACTGTCCGACTATAGAGCTGACCATTCCCACACGAAAAGTGTTCAAAACGTCGGAAATGTCCGACTATTGAACATCCGATTAGCAAGCGCCTACTGTATTAATGTTGCATTTTTTTGTGTGGAATTGACACAATATTTTTCCTCAAAAGATCCACAGCCAGGGAAAATATGTTCATCCATATACCACTAATGCAAGGAATGACATGGTTTGAAGATAATTTTTTTGCTTCTCATACTTTTCTAAAGTGTACCAAATTTGAATCAAAACTATATTACTTCCCAGAGATGAATAAAAAATCATTTCATAAGTAGGTCTTTCTAATTAAATTTTTTAAATAAGGTAAGGATACTTAAATTCAACTATTTTTACCTCAGAAACTAGTAGTTGCCATATGATGATTACTGCTTTCTGGAATTTAAATATATTCACAATTTTTAACGTAAAACTATTGTAATCAATTTCAAAAACTAATACTCTACTCTGTTTATCTAAAAAAAACATGTCATTCTATTACCAAAAAAAATATTGTAAAGAAAAAAATATTTGAAGAATGAATAAAAATGAATGTAAAATATTGGTACCTTATCCCCAGAAGCAGGATCAGTTACAGGAGTGTCTGAAACTGTACTGATATTTCTATTTCCAATAATCGTTCTAATTTCTATGTTCTCTGACATTTTTCTTACTGTTAACCGTATACAACAAACAGCTGGACTTCTGTGTCAAATGAAGTGGTTTCTATAGACGTTCCACCAATTAAAATAAAGTATTCATTTGGAATACAATGTAGTCTAGTCGTTACAAAGATAATTATTCACTACTTCTTAACGTTTCTTTTTAACGAAAATTTATATAAACTGAATTAATACATTAAGAACCGTAGCCAAGGTTAAAACGGATGTAATTTGAAGTTTTGTCTAGTTACTGTCACAAGTGTCACAGAACACAGAAAATATTGTAGAGATGTGTTTTGTGTTGTGATTTCCAGAGATATAGAGTAGGGAGAAGGCTCATTGACTTCTGCGCATCCTATTTTCGAGGGACACTACCAGTGTCGCCATTTTGAACATGAACTGTCATTGTCTATGAACATGAATTTGTTTTGTTTTGATTTTTGAGTGAGCAAGGTTATGTTTCGTGAATTATTTTTTAGTTACTATTTGTTTATATACATATAATTTACGCCTGGAGCAGCAAATTGGCACTGTGGACGTTTTTTAATATTCATTACATCGTTTCCACACTAAGGAAAACATTTATCTTTTATTGTTTTTGTTATGTCGTATGCTGTGAAGGGGTGCTTTTTAACATAAGCCGTTTTAAACCAAAAGGCATGGAGACTATACAAGGAGCCCGAACTCCATGTAAACAAAAATCTTACAAAAATAAGAGGGCGCTAGTGTTCCATATGTCCCATATGTAGAGAGGGGAGATAAAAAGCGGCAGTTTGAATTATAAATCAATCATGTCATTTTTGTAATGTGTTAAAAATTTTAAAATAAATAATGTAAGCTACTTTGAATTATATAAATCATGAAAATATGTCATTCCGGACTGTAATTAAACTAAATAGATAATAAAAAATATTAGCTTTATGAGAAGAATTTGGTGTTCGTAGAAAGAAACTAGTTTTCAAGGAATTTATGACGTGTCTTGTTAATATTAACCTATAAGTAAGGTTTATGTTTTTGATAATTACTTTGTTAAAGATTTTAGTTTAATGTTAGTAAAAGTCACATTTTATACAGGAAGTTGCCTTTAAAAAAATAGTAATTCTTGTATTATTAATATGGAATTTTTACTTGTGGTAATAAAAAATAGAATATAAAAAAA